TTTTATGACATCATTATAAAAGATTAACTAAACAATGGCTTGAATAAATGGCACCACGTTTCTTTGCAAGTGTTGCTTAAAACCAAATTAGTAGTAGCTACATTTTACCAAGCTATTATAAAAAAATCAGCCTTATTTTAATAATTGTTTGTTATTAACCACTTGGCTTTTTTAAATTTCTTAAATTACTTGACTTTGACAATTACATCAAAAACTATGAAAATATTTTAAGTATTTTAGACAAAAAGAAAGTAAGTAATCCATCCCTGTTAAAACTGATCTATTTCCCTGGTTTCTCGGTCCGGGTGGTTTTCACTGATTTATGATTTGATTACCATCCGGTTTACTCTTAACAACACCGCATTTAACTTAAAAGTAATAAAATTTTTAGTGGGTTTTAGCAAAACGTCCTTACTGTACATACACTGGCGGGCACAAAATTTTGGACGATTTGTCATTCGACTGACATAAAAGTGTAAAACGGGCCTTAGGCAACTAACCTCACTTTCGGTTTTTGTAATTTTCGTCCTGATAGCCAGAGAAAAGATTACACCAAATCAAAATATTTTTTTGAACTTATATAAAAACACGTATTGCTGGCAATATTATTTCGGAAAATAGACGCCAAAAGTACATTTCAACTAAAACTTTCAAATTTTAGTTTCAAACGTCAATCATAATGACAATAAAACGTGGATTACATTGATATTTTTTGAACTGACATAAATTTGATGGGAAGATACATGTAAAAAATGTTTAAAAAATTTTATCTATAAAAATTTCGAAGTTATGAGAGTTTAAATTTTGCTCTTTGACTATTTATTTCTGTTGGAAAAATAATTTTCCAAATTCTGTTTAATGTAATTTATGGGTTTTATTGGCAAACTCTCACATCACAAGTCTTGTTTTCAACAATCCAGTTGACTACAAAATCACCAAATGGTAAGATTGGTCTTCTTCTGACGTAATAAAATGACGAAAATCAATTTCAGGAACCTGATATTTTTTTTCAACCCAAATGGAGGAAAACCATGGCCAAAAAAATTTTAAAAATCAAGTATTGTACCACCCTGGTAGTCAGAAGTCAAGGAAGACATAATGAATGCCCCAATGTGAGAACCAGCACGAATAGGGATAAAAATTGATTTTGTGATGGGGTTGTCGTTACTTTGTTTGGTCACTCCGAGAATTTAAAATAAAAGAGCAATTTTAGTACATCAAAGTATAGGTGTAAAGAAATGTCGGTAGCGACTAAGTCAGAAAGTCTTATTTGCGGTAGGCTTGTCACAACAGGGAATATTTACTTCTATTAACATTAAAATTGAAATACTCAAAAATAAAAAACTTTTTCTAAATTCTTTTAAAGTGCTTTATTTTTCAAAAAGAAAAAAAATAGCCACATGGAAGCAAAGGTAAACTAGACATTTATTTAGTACATCCTAGGAAGGAAGTGGTCCACATTTTCCCTCTTCGTCAAGAACCTCGTCGATGCTAGGACATTCAGTAGTAAACTTTACGCTCTTGCCTAAAAGCAATAACAATGTAAAATAATTAATCTTTGTGTAAAATGTGAAACGTATACGTTGTATACGATTATATACCTATATGTATACATATTCTTTTATTTTTGTCTTAAAAAAGTGTTAAGTACTACTTACAAAATCTTTTTATCATGTTGCCCACAAACCGATCACAATTTCTATAACAAGAATTTTCTCGAAATAAAAAATTAAGTAGAGAACAAAACTAAATTTCATTACATACATACGAGCTGATTTCTTTGATGACTTTGCTGATTTTGCTCCATAAGTGGCCATGACAAGGAAGCATAAAAGCATTATAATTCCAAACAACCTCATTTTGTTGTGTTTCTCACTTTATAAATCGTCGTATCTTATATGAACCGACATTTATATCACATGCAGAATAATATTCCACCTCTAATTAATAAATACAGTGAAAATAAAAATTTTATAACCATAAGAAAAGTTCAATGCAATAATAGTTTTTTTTTTATATAGCATAAAATTTTATGTTTATGTAAATGTATACCTACAAAATCGAATGCACAAATTTTAATAGCTTTAGTAAGTCTCAACTTAAGTAGGGTAAAAATATCTCGAATATTTATTAAAAATACGTATAAAATTTAAGTAAGTTCATTTTAATTAATTTTAATTTTTAAATTTACAGTAAAATTTGAGAGTTTGAGTATTAAAAAAAAGGTAAATAGAAAAGCAATTTGTTTTTATGAGTTGTCACACCGTTTAAATTTTCTGAACGCATTTCAATAACACGCTGTATAACAAACATTGACATTATATTTTATGTAATTTTTTTAAACTTTTGTTTTATCGTCAATTTCTTGCCAAAAATTAAAGAAATTTCTTTTATAACTTATGCTTCTTCGCTTTTTGTCTCTAAATTTCCAAAAACTGTTAGCGGTACCGCATATTTTCCCGCTTTTGTTTTTCCATCTTCAAATTTTTTTAGACAATAAGTAACATTTCTTTCAAAATAAATCAAAAATTGAAACTACCAAGTTGTTTTATTAAAATTGTCACAAATAAATTAATTAGGAATGTTATGACTGTTTAACCGTTTTAAAAAAATATATGTTGAACAATTTTGCAAACATAATAATAGATTAGAAAAGTATTGCGAACAAGCTTTAGGAACCAGATATACCTTACTAAAATGGCCGCTGAAAATAAAAGGAGGAAAAAATTAAAAATTAAAGGAAGAATAAAGAGGGAACACTGTAAGATGAAAATACATTTTTTTGAAAAACAAATTTTAACAATAAAAAATTTACGGAAATATTTCTTCTATTTTTTTATTTTATTTTTTTAATTTCTTTAATTCTAACTTATTTTCGGCGGTCATTTTATTAATCACACCAGTAGGTAGCAGTACCTTCAGTACTTTAACTTTTTGATATTTTTTAACTTTTAATCTTTAATGTAATATGTAATCTACAAAAATTTTAAAATAAAAAAATGTGTTAACGCCCTATTCTTACTACATGCTGAAAATGGTTTAATTAAAGCGAAACTACTCCAATTTGGCTTTTTATTTTATCCCGGTTGGGTCGACTTCGAATTTTAGTCTTCACTTCATGAAACTTAACCCAACTTTGCGATGGTCATCCCTTCAATAAAATAGTTTTTCTAATTCAAAATAAATGTTTACTACAATTATTTTGGTTTACTATCAATCATCCAACTAAAATTAAATAATTAGGTACAGATTCAAATATGTAAGTATTTCAAAAAATGATTTTTTGCAAAATGTTATTTGGAAGATGGAGTTGCAAGAAGTACCTAATTTAAAATTTAATTTAATTTTGGATATGTTTTTAAAGGTTACTCAAATTTAGACCAAATGTGTTTAATTATTTAACTGCTTTAATTACTAAAAAAAATTCAAATTAAAAAATAAGCTTATACCTACATTATCTTTTTTATCCCAAAGATAAAACCAGTAATGTTTGTGAAGAAGACTAATGTAAAGTACTAAAAAAGTACTAGAATCAAACTTGACTACTCAGAAAATGAAGAATATTGCTCCCAAAATTGTAAAATCTTATTGGAGAAAACTGTTGAATGTACTGTGGAAGAATGTGAACATGTCTCATTGAAAAAAACATCTTTTTCTATAATCTTGTAAGTGCTTTATTTTTCGAAAAGAAAACATTTAGGCACATAGTAGGAAGTAGATATATAACATTTTATTACTTGTGAGGTCCACAATCTCCATGTTGGTCAATTACCTTGCCGGGAGGACATTTAACCTGGCCTGAAAGCAATAACAATGTACTTAAAAAAATTAATACGTGTGTAAAGTGTAGAACAAAATTACGTAGTATACGTTGTCTTCGAGTAAATTGTTGTCAATCACAATTAAATGAATTTTCTCGAAATTAAAAATTAAGGAGAGAACAATATTCACTACATACCAGCTGGTTTTGATGTTTTTGTTGTTGTTGTTGGTGTTGCTCCATAACTGGCCATGACAAGGAAGCACAAAAGCATTATAATTCCAAAGAACCTCATTTTGTCGTGTTTCTCACTTTACAAATCGTCGTATCTTATATGAATCGACATTTATATAGCAAACGGTAAATCATATGCAGAGTATTGTTCCACCTACATTATAATTAATTTTTTAATCTAAGAAAAATTCATCATAACAGTTTTTTTAAGTAGCATAAAATTGAAATTTCAGAAGTGCGTGGTAAGCAACAGTTAACAAGTCGCAGAGAAAAAATTTAATAGCTTTTAGATAGTAAATATAGAAAAATCGTTTTGCTAAGACCTACTAAAAATTTTATGACATCATTATAAGGGATTAAGCAAACAATGGCTTGAATAAATGGCATGTTTCTTTGCAAGTGTTGCTGCACTCAGCAAAAACAGGGCCGTATTTAAAACCAAATTAGTAGTAGCTACAGTTTTACCAAGCTATTATAAAAAAATCAGCCTTATTTTAATAATTGTTTGTTATTAACCACTTGGCTTTTTTAAATTTCTTAAAATAATTGACTTTGATATTTTAGACAAAAATAAAGTAAGTAATCCAGCCCTGTTAAAACTGATCTATTTCCCTGGTTTCTCGGTCCGGGTGGTTTCCACTGATTTATGATTTCTGGTTTACTCTTAACAATACCGCATTTAACTTAAAAGTAATAAAATTTCTAGTGGGTTTTAGCAAAACGTCCTTACTACTACTAAATGGCGACCTTGTCAAAATAAAAAATATGTATTTACTTATATAAATTTATTATTAACGCATATGTAATAAAAATAGAAAACTAATCCTATTCTTCCTCAATTCCGCTTTCTCTCCCTGCCTCATCACCATCATTCTTCTTCTTATAAATGAGTAAAAGTGGTACCGCCTTAGACACCCTGTACATCAGGAAGGAAAAGTAGGATTAGATATTAATTATTTTGACCACATTTTCTTGTTTTCATTAAATGAATGTTGACAAATACTCTCGTTTAAATGTAAAAGCTTCCTACAGCTTCAAGTTCAAAATTTAGAATGTGCAGCGGTCACCAAAAAACTACAGCAAGTTTATAAAAAGCAACTAACACTAATGACCCTATTAACACTAATTACTAGCGTAATTCGCCGACTGTTAACCAAAGAAAAAATTAGTTATAAATTCCTAAAACTATATTTTAGATAGTTTGAAACTTTTGATAAAAATTTGACGCAGTAATAATAAAATATTATGTTCGATTGTTTAATAGTAATCTAGATTTTATGATGAAGAAATTCGTTAGTTTTAGACGTTATTGCACCTATTTCTTTCATTTTATATACAGTTTAAGTCTTTTAACTTAACACATCTGTAAACCGACTTTTATCACACTTTTTAATCTCAAATATATATACAGGGTGTATCAGAAATACGTGCGTTAATTTTAACACGTGAAAGTAAAACAACTTTTCTATATAACATTTTGCAAAATTCTTATTAATTGTTTTTCCCTATAATTTTGGGTAAACGAGCCGTTCAATGTTAATAAATAATCACAAGAATGGAGTTCTTTTAATGTAGTTCCGTTTCTATCACAACGAGAACATTTCGGAATTTTTAATTTGATACACATACGTTTTGATATGTTATTTATTTTAAATCAAATTTGAACGCTTTTATTGAAAAATTACAAATACAAATAGAAAAAATGTACCTATTATTTATCGAGATGTGTTACATGTTAGAATTAACACACGAATTTCTAATACACCCTGAATATTTTTTTTTAGTTTCTGCACTATAATCGATATTTGTATTTAATTCTTAGTTATAATATAATAATTAGGCAATTAGGTTTTGCGGACTCGCCCTATTTATTGCCCTTGCTCGCAAGTAGATCCATAAATCCACAAAGACCTAATTATATATAAACAGCTATAATAGTATTAACGCTAGACAAACTGAGATAAAAAAATTGAATGCTGTTCAAAAAGTGCGTACTATATTTGAATTCTAATACAACTTAGACAATAAAGAAATAAAACATTGTTTCTTTATGGGACGTTTTATTGAGAAAAAAAATTAGCTGAAAAATTTTACGTGGTGTTGGCCTTTACCTATTCTAAAATTTCATATTTTCTGTTCTTACTTTTTCAACCTTTTTAGTGATTTCTAACTCATATCCGAAGTCTCGCTCACAATAAACACATGCAAACACAAAAACAAATAAAATACATATTTTAGATTTATTAATAAACAGATTATAAAACTCGTTAAATTCTGGCCTAATGCAACGAATAGAATAATTTTCTTCAAGATAAATTTCATTAAACGGAAGTTCAAAATTAGTAGTTGGCGTAATTTTTATTTTTTTCTTGTAAAAGAAATATTAATCACCGGGCCGGATTTAGACTATAGAAACAAAAACAAATTTTCAGCTACTTATAAATAGTATAGCACGGTTTAGACTAAAAAAAATGCTTTAAATTTTCAGGGCAATATCCACAAAAGGTCTTAGAACCGGCAAGTTACTGTAAACCGCTGGAACTCCCAATAATCCACACTTGGTCTCTGCCCCCCATGACACAATCCCTGCTAGCAACCCATTAATAATCAAGGGTCCTCCAGAATCTCCCTTACAAGAATTCTTTCCTTGTTCCAAAAGTCCTCCACATAACATTCTGGGAGTAAGAGTATAAGGGACAAACTCCTCGTCACAAATCTTTGCATTTTTCAACTCGATCATTGTCGCTTGTAATTCTCTTGAATCCTCTGTTTGGCCAACTTTTGTAAACCCCCAACCGCTCACTAGTGCAGGAGTGCCTGGACTCCACGAATGGGATTGATTTGCTAGAGGTATGGGGGCTATAAACTGGCTGTAAGTCAGGGGTTGTAGGAGTTTTAAGACAGATACATCGTAGTCCATGTTTTTAGAATTAAAGGAAGGGTGGTTTATGATGAGGCTGACAGCGACGACTACACCCCCGGATTTCCGCAAAGATGATCCAGCGCGAATAAAAAGTTCCGAGGCTTGACGAGTATAGGTACAATGGGCGGCGGTAATGACGTGTGAAGGGGTTATAACCGAACCGGTGCATATGTATCTGGTGTGAGACAGAAGGGCGACAACATATGGGAGTTGAATGGAATTAACTGCTTGACCACCGCTGATTCTTAATTTGAACTTCTTTTTTTCGGTAGAATTAACTTTGAGAACTAAATGTTGATAGAAATAATGAAAAATTAAAAAATAAAATTTTCCTACCTTGACAAGACATCATCAGCAAATACATCCAAAAGCAGAACTTTAATTTCATTGTACACTTTAAAGGAAATGTACTTCGTTAATAATGAAAGAAAAATGTGACAATAATTGTTTAGAGCCCATTATAAGACTTCATAGGCACTTTCTTATCAAAGATGTATTTATAAAATAAAATTATTGTTTCTATTGTAATAAAGTAATAATAATTGACTAATAAACAAATTTTGAAACACTTTTTTTACATGCATTTGTTAATTGTTTCCTGTGTGCATTCAAAATAATGTTTTTTTTCTACGACTATTGTAGAATAACGACCTTCTTGGTTGATTTTTAATTACAGAATGCAAATTTATTCTTTAAAACTGTGCGAAAATATTCTTAACTAGTGTTAAGTGTTAGGATGGTCACAGGTACAGTTAGTTGACTCACATTTGACTTATTTTTTTGTTGTTAAAATTGTTAATTAAACAATTTGTCTTTCTTAGGAAATTTATTAATTGAACTAAGGGTAATTAAATCATCGCTTTGATCTGCTGCCTATCCGTTATTATGCGACAAATCACTATTTTTGAAAGTAAATAAGTCAAAATGGCATGACAACAGTAAAAAACATGACGAGAGTAAAAAAATGAGGTTATTAATGTAAAGGTTGTTTTAGAGTTTACATTATGAAAATGACAATAACAATACTGCCCGAAATTTTAATTCCGCAACTGTACCTACTGCCATTTTGACAGTCATAAATTTTTAATAAATTTGTTCAAATTCTTTGCAAATTTTAGTTGTAAAAAAGTATAATTTGGAACTCGTTTAGAAAGGCATATTCTAAAATGCCATCTACCTATATCATATTCTAAATTTGTTACTTCTTATGATTTCAAACAAACCATTTACACAAAAATAAATAATTAACAATTTTAATCAATCATATTTTTTTATAATAAGTGAAAGGTAGAATTTCAAAATCGTACCCACGAATTATTATAAGAAAATGAAGCCCATTTCGATTTTTAATTGCGTCCAGTTGAAGAACAAATTGTATAGCATGCATAGCTAAAAAAAAATTGGCTTCAGGACTGTATTTGAGTAAGTTAGGTGAACATAATAAAAGTCCCCACTTTAAATTAAAATATCTTTGAAACGGTCCATCTTAGTGGTGTAAAAAGTTATGTATTTTTTACTCCAAATTGATTACTTTATCGATTTGAGCAATAAAAAATGAGTGCTAAGGAAGCAAAAACACAGAAAAACACAGAAAATGTGACCTGCAACTTCAGCAACCGTAATCGTACAGTGACGGAATAAAAATTTCGGACAGTATTTTTTTGTCACTTCAAAAAGTTCACTACTACCTTTACTGTCATCGTGACTGACATTTGACAATTAAACTTTTCTGTCGGTGACGCAGAGTTACTCTTTTCAATAAAGTAAGGGTGATACTGACAACACTCACTGAAAATGGAATGTAACAGAGACAGATTGCCGAAAAAAAAATCATCGCTTTGATCTTATGTCTTATGCCACACATAGCACTATTTTTGAAACTCAATATGTCAAAATGACAAACATGACAAGAGTAAAAAATGAGGTTATTAATGTAAAGGTTGTTTTAGAGTTTACATTATGAAAATTACAATACTGTCAGAAATTTTAATTCCGCAACTGTACATGTCGAACATCGATAAAATTCGTTCAAAAATTAAGAAAAATTTACAGGAAAGTGTTTTTTGGTCTCGATGTAATATCCCTTTTTGAAGGTTCATTGACTGAGTTAATAATGAATGTAATGTTTATTGTGTCAAACATGAATTTACAAATAAATGTAGATTCTAAATTTAACAAGTATGTATATTAGCGAGATACCCGTGAAAGACTCAATACAAAAAGTAAAATTCTCTGTGTAGTTATGTAAAAAATGTGTAAAATCAGAATCAGATTACGGAGGTTGGACTGAGAAAAAATAAGAAATGTACTTAATTCCGCATATTTTTGTTTATTTAAAAGTAAATATAAAATACAACAGAACAATAAATCAACTCTTCTTAAAGTACTTTTTGTAAATAAATACCCAAACAAGATATTTGATAAAGACCACCGTTGCTACAATTTTTACGACTAGTCATAAATCCTTCCTTTCCTTATAAGTTGGAGGTGTAATTTGAAATTTGATATCAGATCCTTTGGTTCTCTTTTGAACCAGCTTTGCATCAACTTCTTCCACTTTGAAGAACTGATCAATTGATGAATAAACCTTTTCCTGAAAGTAAAACAATGATAGAAAACTCTTTAAAATTATAACGACTTACTGCAACTTCTACGTTTCCATTCGCCCCGCTTATAACCACCCTAACTTCATACATTTTGTGTAACCACTTTAGCGCCCTTTTAAGTTGGGTTGTAAGGTCATGCTGTGTGATTCTACAGTTAATTAAAAGTATTTTTTCTCCTTTAATGTTCTTCTGTCTTTCTTCTTTACGTTTCTCTCGTTGTTTCAAATCTTCAGCATGATATTCTTCTCCTGTCATTAACCGATAGACAGGTCTTTGGGTCTTTGTATCAACGTCCACAATCTTAACTAATTTCAAATCTCTACGTTTTGAAATTTTCTCAGCTTCTTGGAGAGTCGTAATTGAGACATTATCACCCGTAATTAGGGTGATCTTAGGAACTATATTTGTTTTCTTGATTTGTAACTTCCCAGTGTCTGGATCTAGTTTTTTTATTACCCCCTGGGGAGGGGCCTTTGATGATAATGATTTTGCAACTGACACATACTTTAAAGGACGTCTTGCAGCCAAAACACGGAAATTTTGTAAAACGGAAGTTAAGGACATTTTTATCACATGCTCTCTACCTAAATTTTATATTCACTGTGATTTTTGGAAATTACCCTGTAATTTGTATATTAAACAAATAATTAAATTGTAGTCAAAATTTCAACTTACTGTTGGGGGTAATTTATGAATAATTTAGAATTTAGTTAAATATCAAAGGTTCTTGTCAAACAACACACATAACCTCAAATTATGACATAACCTCAATTCCTTAAAAATTAATTTTCAGAAAAAATGTTTAATATAATTAGGAATATAGTTTTCATACAATCGAAGTCATTAAAATCGAAAATTTATCATGTTAAATGGTGAGTTTTACAAGGTTGCAATTACTTTAAAAAAATATATTCACAGGCGAGCTGATACAAGAGCGTATTGTGAAGCCCCCATTGATTTTACACAAATCCCAATCGAACGAATACGAAATTTTAGCATAATAGCTCATGTGGATCATGGAAAGAGTACCCTAGCAGATCGTCTTCTTGAATTCACAGGTGCTGTAACAAAAAATAGTGGGCAGAATCAAATTTTGGATAAATTACAAGTAGAACGCGAAAGAGGAATTACAGTCAAAGCCCAAAGCGTGTCATTATTATATAATTACAAAGGACACGACTATTTATTAAATTTAATTGATACTCCTGGTCATGTAGATTTTTCAAGCGAGGTAAAGCCAATTCTGTAGCCTATTTTTCCACCAAAATTTAGGTCTCTAGGTCACTTTCCGCATGCCAAGGGGTTATTCTAGTAGTGGACGCAAATGACGGGGTCCAGGCTCAAACTGTGGCAAATTTTTATTTAGCTTTTGGCAAAGATCTCACAATTGTGCCTGTTTTAAATAAAATTGATTTGAAAAATGCTAACCCTGACAGAGTTACCAAACAGTTAGTGTCACTTTTTGATATGGAACCTCAAGAAGTGTTGAGGGTAAAAATTTAACCAATATAACGAAAATAGTCTCATAATAAATTACAGATTTCTGCAAAATTAGGTACAGGCATTCAGTCAGTTATTGAGGCTTTAATAGAAAGAATTTTACCACCAAAAGTGGACAGAACTGCTCCTTTCCGTGCTCTACTGTTTGATAGTTGGTTTGACAAATATAGGGGGGCCTTGTCGTTAATTTATATTCAAGACGGTGAAATAAATATAGGGGATGAAATTCAATTCTGCCACTCTAAAAAAACATACGCTATTAAAACGTTATCCTTGTTAAGGCCACAAGAGGTTGCTACTAAAAAACTGTAAGTTTCGTAGTTTTGTTATTTTTTAATTGATTAATTATAATAGAGTGGCTGGTCAAATTGGCTTAATTGGTTGTAATATGAGGACAAGTAAAGAGGCTTTCATTGGTGACACTATTCATCTCTCCTCTCGCCCCGTTGAGCCTCTTCAAGGTTTTGAACCGCCTCAACCAATGGTATTCGCCGGTGTTTATCCAATGGACCAATCACAGCACGTCAATTTGAGGAGTGCTATAGAGAAATTGACTTTGAATGATTCGGCCGTATCGGTTGATATTGATTCGAGGTATTTGTTATCCAGGTTTTGACTTTTTTAATGTAAGAATTACAGTCCGGCGTTGGGTCAAGGCTGGAGACTGGGTTTTTTGGGGCTATTACATTTGGAAGTTTTTTCGCAGCGTTTGCAACAGGAATATGGCGCTGAACCGATTCTCACAGCGCCCTCTGTCACTTATAAAATTAAATTAAAAGAAACCAAACAAAATATTAAGACAGGTTTAGAAATATTTGTTAATAATCCCGCTTTGTGGCCTGATGTTCAACAAATTGAGGAGTGTTTCGAGCCGATGGTAATCGGGACTATTATCACTCCTGATAAGTATTTGGGTCCGATAATGTCACTTTGTATGGAAAGACGAGGTATTCAAAGAAGTGCTACCAACATAGACAACGATCGTGTCATGTTACAATACGACTTGCCCCTTTGCGAAATAATTATAGATTTTCATGATAGCCTGAAAACAATCTCGTCCGGTTATGCCAGTTTTGATTATGAGGACAGCGGATACCAAAGCTCTAATCTGGTTAAAGTAATTGACAATAATTGACACAAGTTACTTTTTAATTCAATTTTAAATTTTAGTTGTGCATTTTGTTGAATGGAACAGCAATTGACGAATTAAGCAATATTGTTCACATCACTAAAGCCCAATTTATTGGTAGGAAAATGGTTCTGAAATTGAAAGATATAATCCCACGCCAGATGATACAAATTGCCATCCAGGCTGTTTGCAACGGTAAAATTTTGGCTAGGGAAACTCTTAAAGCTTATCGGAAAGACGTGACAGCTAAACTTGTAAGCAAAACAGTAATTTCTAAATAAAATTTGATTTTTTATTATTACAGTACGGAGGTGATGTTACAAGAAGAATGAAACTACTGGCACAACAAGCTGCCGGCAAAAAGAAAATGCGCATGGTTGCAAACATTTCTTTACCCAGAGAGACATTTATAGACGTTTTGAAGAAATAATTTGTAATTTTTTATTATCTATGAAATATAAGTTACATCTTTAGTAATGCTTTTTGTTCTTTTTTATTCCATACAAAATTATAATGAGTGTTTTTTTTTAATTTGGCGTCAAAGCTATCCATGAATGTTCGATTGTGACATTTGACAATTTGACAGCTCGTTATGCGTACAGTTCACCACAGTAAATAAATCAAAATGACATAAACATGACAAGAGTAAGAAATGGGGTTATTAATGTAAAAATTGTTTTAGAGTTTACTTTATGAAAATGACAATACTGCCCGAAATTTTCTGTCACTTCAAAAAGTTCACTGTAAACTACCTTTTACTGTCATCATGACATTCATGACTGACATTTGACAATTAAACTTTTCTGTCATAATGGCATAGACATAACAAGAGTAAAAAATGAGATTATTAATGTAAAGGTTGTTTTAGAGTTTACATTGTGACATACAACTTGTCAACTATGATTGACAGCATATTGACAGTAGCCAAAAATAATGTTAACAGTCCTAAAGCATGCTTTAGAATTTAATGTCACTCAAGTGACATTGACGACCAAAGTATTTTGTCTCCAACTGTACATATTAAAATTAACACTCATATCACCGCCAAATTTAAATAAACACCTTTTATAATGTGGTTTTAAGTGGATGATAATGATGATAAAGGCTTTATTTATTTTAAATGTGTTGGTAAAGTAGACCACGGTATTCGCGGTCACGTGACCAAAATATACACGTTGACTGATTTGACAGGTTGGCCGGTTTCTCTAATTTCAAACCAAAAACATGAAAGCGTTATTATTGGGACTCTTTGTAATATTTTGTATATTTTTCTACCATGTTGACGGCCAGGCACGTAAGCAGGTGAGTTCGCATTGACTCGTTGTGTTATTTTTGTTAAAATTTGTTCAAGGGTCTCTCCCTGGCTGAAAGGGTCCAACAACTGACTGAAATGTCCAATAAAAAGGCCGTTTTAAGGTTAAATGGCAACAAATTTAGGGACTACGTGAAAGCAGCCCCTCGTAGCTACTCGGTGATTGTGATGTTCACTGCCATGGCGCCCCAAAGACAATGCATGGTGTGTCGACATGCCAGTGACGAGTTCACAATTGTTGCAAATTCGTTTAGATATTCGCAGGGTTATTCAAATAAACTGTTCTTTGCAGTCGTTGACTTTGATGAAGGGTCGGATGTGTTCCAAATGGTGAGAAAAGAGGGTGCGATTGTGAGGTTATAATATGTGTTTTAGCTACGTCTCAATACCGCCCCCGTTTTTATGCATTTTCCGCCGAAGGGCAAGCCTAAGAGTGCCGATACAATGGATATTTCCAGGATTGGGTTTTCAGCAGAGGCTATTGCAAAATGGATTGCTGAGAGAACAGACATACAAGTAGGTTGTCCACATAGGTGGCTTTTTTAACTATTTGTCTTAAAGATTCGTGTGTTCCGTCCACCAAATTACTCGGGAACTCTTGCCTTGATTGTCTTATTTGCCCTCGTAGCAGGATTTTTATATTTACGGCGCAACAATTTAGATTTCTTGTACAATAAAACAATGTGGGGGATGGGTTCTTTATTCTTCTGTTTTGCCATGGTGTCTGGACAAATGTGGAATCATATCAGAGGGCCCCCTTTTGTACATAAAGGACAAAATGGACAAATTATGTACGTTCATGGGTCGTCGCAAGGACAATTTGTTGTAGAGACTTACATCGTGATGGTGTTGAGTATCCTTTTTAAATATTTTTGTATTTGCGTATTATTAAAATTGCATTTTTTTTCTTAATTATTTTTAAAGACGCGGCTGTTGTTTTGGGTATGATTCTACTTACAGAAGCTGCAAGAGGTAAAGGAGATCCCAAAAAGAGGAAAATATTGGCAGTTGTGGGTCTAGTTTTGGTATCTGTGTTTTTCTCACTCCTGCTGAGTATCTTTAGGACCAAAACTCAGGGATATCCTTATAGGTAAGTAATTTGTGTTTTTAAACTCGAGATTTATGCTTGTTTTTTAGTTTCTTATTTAAATAAATTTATATTTGTACTGTAACATACTGTACATTGTGCAATTAAGAGAAAGAAATGTTATGTATAATTTGTAATATGGATGGGAACCAAGAAGTTACAAACTTCTTTATGTGTGTCATTTTGTGATTTTGCAATAAAAAATACCGTTCATATTTCTGTGTTTTATTTAACATTTTAAATAAAACAAAATAAATGTTATAAATATATTTCATTATTTACTTCACTGAAAGGAAACTAATAAAATATGTAGCAAAAAAATTAAAAGCACACTAATTTCATTTATTAATAAAAAAAATAACAAAAAATTGTACGAGTATTCAGTAGCAGAAAAAATGGGTGTACGTTTTAGGGTCAAACACAGAATTTGAAATAAAGCCGGTTTTTAAAAATGTGTAATTTATTGTTACTAAAAACTAGTTGACTTTCTATAAATTAACATTTCGTTCGTTTGGAATTACAGTGTCCTACACTGGCGGACACGGAATTTTGGACGATTTGTCATTTGACTGACATAAAAATGTAAAACGGGCCTTAGGCAACTAACCTCACTTGCGGTTTTTGTAATTTTTATTCTGAGAGCGAGAGAAAAAATGACAACAAATCAAAATAATTTATCGATCTTATATAAAAACATGTATTGCTGGCATTATTGTTTCGAAAAATTGAGGTCAAAAATAAATTTCAACTAAAACTTTCAAATTTATATATATTTATACAGGGTGATTCTTAAATAGACCGACAAAATTTTATCCGTGGTAGTATCAAATGAGAACATGCTGGAAAAAATATTTAAAAAATTCTTTGTTTAACCGTTCTCCAAATAAAATTTATTAAAGTGATTTTCGAAGCAAAGCGTACGCCACTGATATGTTCGTAAATAGTATTAGCACAGGTAGTGGAAACCATGGTATTATTTGATAAAAATGTACTCGATTATTGCAACAATTTATAAACGCCGTAAGTGGCACGGATCAAGGGGGTTTTGCCCTTAAAAGATTTAAACGTAAAAATCGTACAGTTTGCCTCCATTTATCGTTGGGAAGCTGTGATAAAATTTTGTCGGTCTATTTAAGAATCACCCTGTATATTATTTCATATTGACATTTTCTGAACTGTCATAAATTTGATGTCCAAAATTCCGTGTCCGCCAGTGTATGTACATTAAGAATCATTTAGAGATGTTACAATCATGTTACTTTGCTGTTGTTATACATTTATTGTAATACATTTATTGCATCTTTTATCAAAAATAACTTTTCGAATTGTGTAACGGCAAGAATAATAACGGGTGTTTTTTTTTTAAATTTGGCGTCAAAACTATCGATAAAAGTTTGATTGTGAATTCATTCACCATCATATTGAAAATTATTAATATGACATTTAACACCATATTAAAAATTCTGGTCCGTTCACAACATACTTATATCACGGCCAACTATGACGCCAAATTTAAATAATGTAAATGTAGTCTTTGAATATTGTATTGATCAAGTGATTATAAAGAAAACCACGAAATTAGTCGACAGCACAAAAAGGAAGTTCGTTATTTTGTCCTAAATTCCAATAAATAACCAATAAAGTAAAATAAAAGGACGAAACTAAATTTACAATCTTTTATAATATACAAATTAATGAGACTAACAAAAACTTGAATTAATTGAACTACAACACATAATATTATCTAGATTATCCTGCAGGTAACTAACTACCTATGTGCTGAGCCTTTTTGTTAAATATTTAACACAATTTTGAAAAAATCTTGTTCCCTTTGGCATCATTGATTTAATTGCTTTAATTTTTTGGTTAGATAGTCCGCTGAGGTTCGAGGAAATTTTTGGGGTTTCAAAAACTTTACAAGGAATTTTTGTTTTCTAAAACAGAAAAAAGTAGCGAATCTGCTTTTTTTTTAAAACTTTTTTCATACAGCTATGCACATTGTCTATTATTGGCGAGCTGAGTTTTCATATTTATTAAGTGATAGCGTATGACATAAGTGAATTTTTATTTTGAGGTACGCAAATCATTAAAGATCAGAGCAGTTTTTATGGAATTCAAATGTACAACAACATACGACAGTGTAATTGGAATAATTTTTATGTTTACAACATACAACTTTGTTTTTTATCTTTTTTACAGCAAACTAAGATAAGATATTTTTTGGATTCATCTGATGTTAAAACTGACAATCGCAAATTATTTAAAAATGGTTCATGCAACATTGTAATTCTAAACGAACGATTTATAAATATATTTTCGGTTCTAGTGAATAAAAATATTTTTTTTATTACTCTACCCTAAATTGGTTCAAACAATCAATGACTGGCAGTTTAGGTAGCTACAGCCTCTACCTTTTCCAAACCGAAGAAAATAGAAGCAAGAGGAACTAACACCAATTACGCAACATCACAGCTATGACAGTTTCCTTATGAAACATTCAGATTTTGTATTCTTTTGGTCCGCGATAGGTATGAATACCAATAAAATAAATTAATCGTAACAAAAAGTAGGGGAAAAACTACTCTAGAAGCTCGATCTATCTTTGAAACTGAATTAAATCTCGGGGTTCTTTTCTTTTTCTTCTTTCTGTGTCTTTGAATTTGACATGGCGATTTTTGACTTCCAGTCGATTTGTTCGGACTCGTGTGATAATTTTTCTCATCTTGCGATCGGTTGATACAGGAAAGATTACTCCAAGGCTGCGAAGTGCGCCTCATCGACGCCACTGGAATGGAACACGCTGACAGAGGAATCACTTCAATGAAATGAGGATCGCCTCCGTTTGAACTGTCGTAATTTGAGCCTTTGCACACAGGAGAATGCGACACCTAGGACAGAATCGTTTTGTCTATTCTCTTAAATATTGGACTTTTTCAAGTTTTATTTATTTTTGAATCAGCTCGATTAGGCACTTACGTCTTTGGGGGCTTTTTCCTTGCTTTCAATCCAATCCTCTTCGTCGCTGCTGGAATCGGAACTGAAATCCGAGCTGAAGTAGCACTCGCCGGAACCATACTTCGTGAAGTAGTGGACCACAGCGAACTGAAATAATTAGCATTGTTCTGCATAAACGTGTTCGTCGTTTTAATTGCTGGCGTGCTTTCAAGCTCGGTCAGTTAATGTTTTTTACCTGAATAATAGTTGCGAAGATGAAGGAGAACGAGAGGAACACGAAGAAATCGAGGGCTGTGGGATAGGGGACTTTGGGCAAGTCGGTTCTTGCCTCCAAGCCCAGAAATGTCATCGTTAATACAGTGGTTATGCCTTAAACAAATCCAAACAAGTGTGGGTTTCGATCAATCGAAGGGATTTACCGAGGGAGACGCGGTCAGCTGTGGCTTCGCGGTTCAGCCAGAACGATACCCAAGAGAGGACGACAAGAAGGACACAGGGGCCGTACACCTGGATGAGAAAGTTGCCCATGTGGCGTTGCAAGTGGAAACTGACAAGAAGCATTGAATATTCAGCTGAAATGCCACCATCAACACCAATATAATGAATTATGCAATCAGATACGGATGAACTAAAAACCGCCCAGTTAATCATTCATAGCTTCGAAAGATCTATTTCAATAATTTTCAACGGTCTGGGAAATAAACGTTTTTACGAGTAAAAAAATTGTAAAAAAAGTAAATACATAGCTACATTCTAACAGGACTGTAGCTAGAAACAATTTTTAGGTAGGGCGCCCAAAATTTTTAGTGGGGCTAGAACAGTTCTGTGGTTTTTAAAAAAAAAATCCTCGAACAGGTCGATTTTTTAAAAGCTATACAGGATGCGACAGAACTCGCGTCCCAGAGGTAAGGTAAGGTAAGATACCAGGAACTTGGAAAAAATTTTATCTATAAAAATTTCGAAGTTATGAGAGTTTAAATTTTGCACTTTGACTCTATTTATTTCTGTTTTTTTGCTAGAGGCTATTAGAAGAGGAAATAAGGAAGCTGTATCCTAAATATTGTAACTCTGTTTAATGTCATTTGTGGCTTTTATTATCAAGATTTTTGTACCTTTACTATACAGGGTGGGTCAGAACTTGCGCTACAGAGAAAAATTTCAAGTAAGATAAGATATCAGAAACATGGAAAAAATGTTTTAAAAATTTTGTTAAAAAATTTTGACATTTGTCATTTTTTATGTCTATTTAATGATACTGATGATCTTGTGTATGTTTTTTTTTATAATTATTTAGTAAAGGTATAAAAATTTTACGAATAAAAGCCACAAATAACATTAAACAGAGTTATAATTTAGGATACAGCTGCCTTGATTCCTCTTCTAATAGCCCGTAGCAAAAAAACTTAAAAAATTGAGTCAAAGAGCAAAATTTAAACTCTCATAACTCCGAAATTTTTATAGAGAGAATTTTTTTAACATTTTTTTCATGTTCCTGGTATTTTACTATTTTTCTCTGAGGCGCGAGTTCTGGCGCAGCTTGTATAATTATTTTATTTTGACATTAAGTGATATTTATGATGTCATGCGTTTTTGAGTTGTGACATCATTTTTAATTTTTTTAAATGACCACTAACATTTTTGTTCACTGTTTTACATAGCACACATCTTTACCTTTCTGGTAATAAAAAAAAAATGTAAAAATTAAATTAAAAATAAAAAAAAGAATAAATTTCAAAAAAATTAAAAAAATATTGACAGTTAAACACAAAAAGCTTTATCTTTTTGTTATTGCATTATTTTATAAGAAGCGATTGTTTTTTGGTATATTTTTTTTTAAATAAGTAGCAATCAAACACTGAATATGAAACCTAAACACAAAAAAAGTAAAAACAAAACACTCCTTATAAAATAAATCAAGAACAAGAAGATAAAGCCCTTTGTAT